ATTCTGTTAATTAGTTGAAATAAAATATTTGTAACTATGATTATACCAGTATGACTAACAAGTTATAAAATATTTGTATAATCTTGATTATATAGAGAAATGCAAACTAGTATCAGATAATGCAAATTCAAGATAGGTTCTTATAATTGTATAAATTTGTAGAGCTAAAAAAAACTGAAGCCTACTTAAAAAAATTTAAATAAAAAAATAATACAGATTTTTGATAATACTACTATAAAGGCTAAACTAAAAAAACAGATACTAATACAAAAAAATTAAATAAATAAAAACTTTTAGATAAAAGGTACTACTAATCAGACTATTAAGTTAAACTAAAGAAAAAGAATATCAAGCTAAATTTAATATACCAAAAACAGATTATAGTTCTTCTAAGCTATTTGAATTAGAAATTTAAAAACAAAACAAAAGTATATTAAAGTATTAGAAATATGCTATAAAGTAGGTACTAAGATATAGATGAACTTTACAAGAGTATAGTTATATTAAAATTTGTAAAGTAAGTAGATAACTTAACAAAAGAACTTCTTGTATCTTATTGCCAGATGACAAATATTGCTACAGCCTGAATAATAGTACAAAAAAAAAAAGATAATATCAAACCTGGATAGTTTTTAATAAAAAATAGCAACAGAATTAATTAGCTTCAGAATAAAATAATTAGAGATATATAGGTACTAATTAGATAAGCCAAAAAGTTTAAATAGAACACCTATAAGTAAAAATTAGATATAACAAATAATAGATAATCTTAAAGTAAAACCTTTAAATAAACAATAACTAAAGTTGTGCATATAACTATCTGTACTTTTATAAACTATATATATACTTAGAATATTATTAATTAATAAAAAAATTGCCAATTTAGCTAAGTAATTAATTACTTATTAACAATAAAAAAAAACTAATATAAAATAAATAAGAAATTTAAAACCAAAAATTATCCAATAATTTAAAACTTACTAACAGATATAATAAGAAAAAATTAAAATATATTTGCAAAAAAATTAAAAAAGTATATATAGTAAAAATTAAAAAATCAAAGTACAAAGCTTTAATAATAATACAAACAAAAAAAATATATAAGAACATCTTATAAGCTATATCAGTAAATAACAACAAAATAGTACAAATAATAAGAAAAATAAAAAACTATAAAGCAAAAGAAAGAAAAAAAAATATATAGTAAAACTAACAAAATTATCTAAAAATGTCTTAGAAATTCTATTATTATAAAGTTTGAAAAGCCAAAAAGTAAAATCTGTTTACATTCTACTAAATAGAAATAAAAATTAAAAAAATAACTATAATAATTATATTCACAACAGAGAAAAATATGAAAACAGCTTAATCAAAACTGATTATATATAATAAATTTTAATTATATTAAATAAATAGAGAAAAAAAAACAAAAAAAAAAAAGCTTTAGAAAAAAAAAACTAAGATAAATTTAGCCAAATTTTTAATGCAAAAAAGAATAGTAGCAAAAAAAAAATAACAAAATATATATAAACAAAAGTAAAAAGAATAAAAGCTTATAAATAGAAACTCAGATAGTAAAGAAAAAAAGCAATATATAAAACAAGATGCAAAAAATTAAATAAGTTATATAAACTTAGTTAAAAAAGAAAAAAACAGTTTTAGAAAAATAATAGCTAAAGCCAAAACTCAAATGCAAGAAAAAAATATATATACAAAAAATATTTTGAATTAAATTTCAAAAAAACTAAAAAAAAGAAATTTTCTATAAAATAAAAAAAAAATTTTCAAAAAAAAACAAAAAAACATCTTTTGAAGCATTTATATAAAATATAATATTACATAAATAAAGAAATATTAAAATACTTCATTATTAATATTTAAAAAAAAAGAAATATTAAAACTAATATTATATAAAACTTTGGTACAAACTTACAATAAGACTATTTAAACAATAAACTAAGAAGTTAAAAAGTTAAAAAGTTATTTATAAATTCTTTAGTAAAAAAATAGTATGAATTTTTAATAATATAATTGGACTAATAAAAACTTCAAAATATCTTTTAAAAAGATAGACAGATAAATCAAATAACAAGTATATAAGAAAAGCATATATACTAATTAGGCTATTAAATTTATTAAAAAAAAAGCATATAAAGATATATTATGTTAGACTATTTGAATTGATAGTTTGAAAAATCTTGTTAATTCTAAATAAAAAAAGATTAAATAGAATAATATATTGTTGAAATAGATATTAAAATTTTATTTTTTATTTATATTTTTTTTTGATATTAAAATGATCTCTTTGATTTTTAACTTTTATTAACAACTTTTTTGGTAATATAATTCTATGAATTATTACAGAAGAGTATACAATTGGCAACATATATAACTTTTTATATTATCTATTTAAGAAGTTTGCCTAAAAGTTTCTTACCAATTGCTATATCTAACATCTTTGCTTAGATGTTTTATTTTAAACCTTCTGAATCTGTAATCTGTGTTAACTTACTGGGTTATACCCAAATGTCTAGATCATTATTTCAATCTTAGGACTATTTATTAGAATTTTAGTAAACTTTATAAAGATAAAAAATAATATAACATAATAGTTTAATAAATAATATCTGTAGAGTGTAGCAATTTAGTAAAGTAGTCAGATTATTAATTTTCTAAGTAATAGGTTGGGTGTTCAAATCTTATTGATAGTAAAAATTTAAATAATTATCTATATAATATTTGTATTACAACAACTGTTACCAATGATTAGATTAGAATATTTGTAATAGCAGTTGCATTAGCATGACTAACAGGTTATAGAACATTTGTGTAAGTATAACATTATACAAAGAAATGCAAACTAACAATTAAGTAGTACAAATATTAGATAAGTTCTTGTGGTTATGTAAATTTATTAAAATTGATTAACAAGAAGTCTATTTAAGAAAAACTAAGTAAAGAAATAGCTAGATCTTTAACAATCCTATTGTAATATCTAGCTTAAAAAAACAGATATTAAGATCATAATATCTAGTTATAGTACCCAGATGGGCAAATACTTTTGAGTTGAAAATTTAAAAAATATTACCAACTAGACTACTGAAATAAACTAGTAGAAAAGAATATTAGACCAACCTGATATACTAATAAACTAATCATAGTTCTATATAGGCTATCTGAATTGAAAACTAATAAAAAGTAAATAAAAAAGCAGGAATATACTAAAGTACTGGGATTATACTATGAAATAGATACTAAAATCTATGTGGACTCTACAAAAATATAGCAGTTAAATAATATAACTCTGACTACAAGTATTAGTTCTGTCATAGTAATACTGAATTAGTTATAAAAATAAATACAAAAGGCTTTAAGAGGTTTATCTTGAGGATAAAATAATCCTAAGATTAAGATGATATTCTGAGCATCTGAGTATAACCCAGTGATATTAACACAGATTGTAGATTCAGAAGATTTAAAATAAAATACCCAAACAGAAATATTAGATATAGCAATTAATAAAAAACCTTTGAGCAGACTTTTTAAATAAATAATATAGAAAAAATTATACATATAACCAATTGTATACATTCCTGTAATGATTCACTAAATCACATTACTAAAAAAATCATTAATAAAAATCAAAAGACCAAAAAGGTCATCTTAATATCAAAAAAAAAAATAAATAATATCTGTAACTGTAAATGTTAGTTTAACTATAATATAATATATAAAACTAATTAGTTATATATAAGATACAGAAAGTTTTAGTAAATTTTCTATTAAGGATAAAATAGTTTTAAAGATAATAATATGCATTAAACACTTAAAATGAATGTAACCTTAAAAATGTTATTATAAAACAAAATAAATTACATTTGTAAAATGTTTAAATAAGTAAAATTTATAGTTAACTTGCAGATATAATATTTTAATATAAAACCTGTATAGTAATACATAAGCAGACTATTTAAATTAAATATTAAAAATACATATGTCCAATAAACTTAAATAAAAACATTATTCTTCAAAAGCAAGAACTTTTAACTTAAAAAAAAATTTATTATATTTAAAAAATATTAAATACAGTTTAATTTTTTAAGCAAATTTGTTTAAAATATAATTTATTTAACTTATATTATTTTTATAACTTGTATTTGAGTTATTTATAGTTGAATAAGTTTTTATTAGCTTGAACAATAAAGTTTTGATTAAATCTATTAATATATTTACTTGTTTTAATTAATAAAAGCAAAATTGCTTAAAGAAAAAAATATATATATTTTTTACCAAAATAAAATAATAAAATTTAAACTTTAAAAATCAATTTCTTAATAACTATTTCACCAAATTGAATCAAAATTTTATTATTATTATAAAAATCATTGAATTTTAACATATCAAGATCTTGGAATTTTTGTATATAATTCTGATTTTTTATTAATTTTTAACTGAACACAATTAATTTTTTTATTTTTTGTTAAAAAAATTATTCAAAACTTTAGCTTTTATCTAAAATTTTTTTCCGTGATTGAACAAATACCCAAACAAATACACAACGTAGGCTAGTTAATTACTAATTTTTGAAAAGTTCAAGTTTGTAGAACCTCTCAGCCAGTGAGAAGATATAAATGCGAGAAAACTTTTATTTAGCATTGTATATACAATATCTATAGTATTTACTACATACATTCAAGACGCAATTCTTGTTTTAAGAGTAATTAAAAATGTATAAATATTTTAACATATAGTTCTAGCAATGACAAAGAGGGTAACTATATGCAGCAAATTAATTTATTGATAGCGATAGTAACAAAAATAAATTAAAAAGCGATTTTGCAAAAGTAGTACATCTCGAATTGCCTATCACGTGATATTAAATAGTGAAACAGTAAACAGCAGAAAAAATTTTGCAACTCTCTTTGTATTCGTAGACGTAAATTTTCCGTTTATTCATCAAGCAAAACTTTCAAGCTTGTTAATAGAACTAGTAGAGAAAGATGTCACAACTGAATGATCAACAAAATCTATCACCAAATTCTAATTCGCAATCAACGACTAATGCAAATAATAATACAACGAGCGATCAATTTTCAAATCTTCAAAAGAGTTCACAACAAATACAACAGACTACTGTACAAAACCAACAGGTAAGTGTCTCTGAAGTTGACTAAAACTGGCTGCACAACAAAGATTAGTAGTTTTGCAATTACAAGATTCACAAAAAAAAAAAAACAAATATCTTTTGTACAGTCATCACCGCAACAATCACAACCATCACAAACTGCCACAACTCCTCAGCTACAACCAGCTACAAGTCAGCCATCACAAGTTGCAGTTAGCGTAGCAGTACGGCCTCCTGCAATTCTACCTCCAAAGGGTGGAAACACAAAGAAAAAAAGTGGAGGAAACAAAAAGCCGGGCGGGTCACGTCCTAAAGCCGGAACAGCCGAGAAAAATGATGATTCGATGTTGCCTCATGCTTTGAGCCAAATGGCAACCGATTATTATAATCAGGCTGTTCATCTTGGGCAAGACACGCCAGAAGGTCAGAGGTGTTACAAAAATTATTTGGATACGGTGCAAGCTTTGGAACAGCATCAGCGAAACAATCAACATGCTAGTTTTTCGTTTGTTCCTCCAGTGAACCAAATTACATCACCGGCAACTACTCCCTCTCCTAATCAAGTGTCTCGCATAATTCCCACCACTATGACATCCGTACCTTCTCCATTATCATCGCAACCTCAGACAATGCATAATCATCAAAATAGTCCACAAATGGTTGCTAGGCCGCAGCAACATATGGTTGGACGAGGACCGCAAGTTGAATATAATAATTTAAATTATCAGCAGTTAACAGGTGAAATTAATAGAATTCAAAGTTTTCTGCTACAAATAATTTGAATAATGCTAAAAAGCAGGACTATTTAAATCGAACCAGTGTTTTAAAATTTTGCCTAATATAGCTTCAAGAGTAACAAATTCTACGAGCGGATCTTCACAAACAACGTACACCACGACAAGGCCTTATTTAAGACCATCGATGATGTCTCCAGTACCTGATTCGTCTACACGAATGATGATCAATACACATGGACATTCAGGGGCGACAGGGTCTCCAACAGGTTTAGTGATAATATTTAAATTTTTATTTATATAATGGATGCTTACGTATTTAAAATTTTCTGATCAAAACATTGATCATGGTTGAATAACATTGCAGCTCAACCTATTCAATCACCAATTATACCTTCTTCACCACTTGCAAATAACATTACGGAAGGATCAATGATTACTGTGCAACAGCAAGCAATGCATCATCAAATGCTGCAATCACCAAGATTACAGCAACAGACTCAATCACCGGGATCACAACCACCACCTCAATCTCCACGATCACACCAAGTACAGTCTCTACCACAATCACCCCGATCTCATCATTTACAACCTTTATCTCAATCACCCCAATTACAACATCCATCTCAACCTCCTCAATCGCAACCGCCACATATAAATTCACATGTAATGAATTCTTCAATGGAAATTGATTCAGTGCAAACAACACCATCGACAATCGTCCCAAAACCTATTACAGATGGTATATCATCAGCTTCATTTAGTGGTATGCATCGACAAATTACACCAATAGCACCAGCAAACCAAAGTGGTCTTCCGTCGCCACTACAGCAGAACTTGTCAGTCGCAAATAAATTACAATTTTCGGGAGTAAAAATGCATACAATACCTAATTTAGGGATGAATTTACCGGAAACGCCAGCATCTTTGGCATTGGCAGAACCAGAAGAAACGGATAAACATCCTTTATCCAAACGCAAAATTCAACAACTAGTTGACCAAATAGATCCCAAAGAGAGACTAGAACCAGAAGTGGAGGATGTACGTTATTTATTTCCATGTTAGTATGGAAAAAGAATGTTTAAGACATTAATTATTATCATTATTTTCAGATGTTATTAGAAATAGCAGATGAATTCATCACTTCTGTAAGTTCTTTCGCGTGTCTTTTGGCTAAACATCGAAAATCAGATACTCTAGAGGTTAAAGATCTTCAACTCCACCTAGGTTGGTATTCTATTAAAGATCTAGGTTCATAAACTTTTATTAAATTAATCAGATAAATTTAACTAATATTCGATTATTTTGATACCTAATAATTAGAACGTAATTGGAATATCCGTATTCCTGGATTTGCATCAGATGAAATTCGATCAGTACGGAAAACTATTGTACCATCATCACATCAACAAAAAATGCTGGCGGTAAATCTCGCAAAAGCGAGTAAGGTTCCTTCTACAACAATTACGCAACCAGTTGTTGGGAATACTTCTGCGCAAGTTAGCGAAAAAAATGTTAACGGTTGAGTTAAATAAAATAAAAAAAATAAAATTTGAATTCGAATTTTGCTTTATTTCGAACATAATTAGAGAAAAATTGATAAAGGTTAATTATTTCATTAAATTTCCGAGTCACTAGATACATTCGCATCTGTGCATGAACTATAAATATATATATTTAGTATCTTTAACAAAATATCTTATTTTATATGTATTCAACATTGGAGAGTTTATAACGATATGGATAAATACGATACATTCATGACATATTAATAATTGTACGTAATATTAAAACTATTTAAAATTTTGTATTAACAGCTTGTATATATTGTATATAAATGCAGAGGTGAAGTAATTTGAAATAAATAATTTGTATAACTCTGCAAAGAAAAAAAATTAAACAGAAAATAATAATAGTTAATTTATTATTTTTAAATCGTTATATACATGGGGTTTTTTTTAATGATACAATCAACTCTGCAAAATTATTGAGGCTTATTAAGTGTATTTGGTGTTTAAGCCAAACTTATAAAGTTCGGTCTATTAAACGTTCGGATTATCCAGGCTCGATTCAGAGTTTTTCTCGAGGTAGGAACGTCCCGAGTACCCCAATCTGTAGATCATTACACAATTAATCTAAGATTTTTTTTATACGTTTTACAATACTTTTTCGGAAGCTCGGGTGTAGGGATAGGAATCGGTTATAAGATTTAATCGACTAAATCGACTAAACATAGTACATATAAATTTTTTAGTCGATTTCTATTTCTACTCGAATGACTTAACTCACTAGTAAAGGGGCAAGTACATTAAGTAAATTTGTAACCTTCATTTAGACATACGTATAACATATTTGCTTAATTCAACTTAATCCAACAGTTATTATATTTAATTTGCTTAACAAAGTCATGTTTAAAATTATTAAATGTAAAGAATGTAAAGTTACTAAATCTACATCCATTAAAGAATAAAAACAATGATTATGATTCTATGCAACTTGTATTTTTTTTTTTTTTTTTTGGTGTTAAGGTGAGGCCTTCTATGCAACTTGTATTATACAACTTATATGATTATTAATTTTTTTTTAATATTAAGATGAGTACTTATGTTCTAGGATTTTATTAATAGTATGTTTTGATTAATAGTTGTATTACAATCACAAAAGGCAATTATAAAAAGAATATACAACTAATTATTCATATAACTTTAGTCATTGTCTAATTTAAGTAGTTCAATCAAAGGTTCTACACACTTAGAACTCAACTGTCAATTCTTTATTTAAACATTTTAGTTTCTGTATTTATTCACCTATCACTATATCAATTGCTCTAATTATTACTAATATAAATATATTATGATTATAAAATTTTAAACCAGTTTGCTTATATAAAAAATCTTTAACTTTGTATTAAATTCACTAAATTTTTTTGTATTTTATATTTATAAGTAATTTAATATCATTATAGTTAAAATCAACACTTGTAATCAGAACTAGTTATTAAACTATTATATTTTTGTAAAGTTTATTCAAACTTTATTACTTATTTTTCTAATATTATTTTTATTATTTTTTATTAAACTATTACTTAAAATTAATAGAATTTTTTTTTTTTTTAATATTAATGATAAGGTCATGCCTTTAATTTTATTGAAATTCAATTGAAGTTTTTACAAAGAAAAGCTTGCTTTTAAATTACATATGAAGAATAAAGACTCAGATATATAATTTGTAACCTAAACCTAATTAATGGAATTTTTCAGATTACTAATTCAGATAATCTGATATATATAATATATTTTTGTATTTTTTTTAATAATTTTAATAATCTGGTTAGTTATATGTTTTTTTTATATACTTTATTATCTGATTTATTTGTTTATTATTTTAAAAATAATTTGGGAGTTTTTATTAGTCTAATAGTATTAACAAAAGTTTGTATTACTTTTTTATTTAAAATTTTTAAGTAGATTTTTGTTTTTTTAGTTTTTTAGTCTTTTGTGTTTAATAATCTTATCATAACTTTATACTGAAATTTTATACAATATCAATTTTTAATATCTTTTTTTTTTAACTTAAGTAGTCATACTAGCACTTTATTAGAATTTTTAATATTATACAGATTACAAAAAATTTTTCTAATACTTAAGTTCAGCATTACTCAGTCACCTTATTGATATCTAAGTATAACCTGTTGCACTACTTCAAACAGAAATAAACTGCTCATTTAACTGTCACTCTATATTAAAATATCATCAACCTGATGATGTTTTCTTATAAAGAAACAAAAAAATAAAAAAAAAGATTTTATATATAAAAAAAAACAAAGATATAGAAGTAAACAATAAAAAATACAAAACAAAAAATAAAAAAAAATAAATAAAAATAAATGAATAAAAAGAAAATATAAAACTTGCAATTTATAAAAAATCAAACAGTTATAATTTTAAGCTTGTGTCAGATATAAAACTTATAATTCACAAATATTAGACAATCATAATTATAAGTCTGTATTAGGCTTTTAAAAATTATAAACTATACTAAATAGAAATTACTTTATTATTTTCTATTTATTTAGATTATTTAACAAAAAACCAAAAAGTGAAAAAAAAACTTTTGACTTTATTATAGAGGGTTAGTATAGAATACTAGTTAGTCCAAAGACAGTGTTTAACAGATTTTTAGTAACTCAAAACATGTGTATAGTCATGTTTATATTATTGTATTAGTTTAAATCCATGTTATCAACAATCTTATTTAGGAACTAAATATTACTAACTGTTTTGGTAATTTTATATATAATTTTTAGAAAAGAGTAAATTAAATTATTCACTTTTACAAAAGTTTTCTCAAAAAAAAGTAGAAGTACTAGATGAATTAACTTTTTAGTTTCTGTAAGTTTTTAACCCTTATGAATATTCCTTATAGGTTTTATAGTTTATAAAACTAATATATTTAATTTTGTTATTTACTTAATAAGAAACTTTGACTTTTATTGACTACTTCTTCTATAGCCCCAAAGTGCTTTTTAAACTATTATCACAAAGCTGTAATTCTTTTTTAATTCTATATTAATGTTCAACAATATGTATACAGTATTTCAAAAAGGTTTTTATAAAGTTTAATATATTAACTATATAATTTTTCTGTAGTTTAGCTTTTGGAAAGTTTGATTTAAGCAATTATCAAAAAATGTTAGTTAATATTCTTAAAAAAAATATTAATATTTTTTTATAAAAAGATATAATAATTTAGTAAAATTAATAAGTTACCAATCTTTTAAATAGCAAATTATAAGTTTAAAACTTATCAATAATAAAAATTTAGATACTTATTTTTGCAATATATTATATTATAACAATGATATTTTGTTAATTAGTTGGAATAAAATACTTGTAATTATAGTTATATTAGAATAATTAGCAGATTATAAGTTTTTATATAATCTTAATATATAGAAAAATACAAATTGATACTAGATAATATAAACTTAAGATAAATTTTTGTTATTATATAAAAATATAAAATAAAAAAAAACAAAATTTATTTAAAAAGATTTGAGTAAAAAGATAATATAAATATTTAATAGTATTATTATAAAGACTAAATTTAAAAAATAAATATTAATATAAAAGAACTAGGTAGACAAGAACCTTTAGCTAAAAAGTACTATTAATTTAACTACTAGTTTTGAACTAAAAAAAAATTATTAAGTTAAACTTAATATATTATAAAAAGATTATAGTTTTTTTAAGCTATTTGAATTAGAAATCTGAGAACAAAATAGAAATATATTAAAATACTAAGAATATATTATAAAGTAGATACTAGAATATAAATAAACTTTATAAAGACAAGTTTTTGTTAATAGTCTGTAAAGTAAATAGATAATTAACAAAAAAGACTCTCTGAGTCTTACTAACAGTATTACAGAGTTGTAGCCTTTTTGGTACAATACAACTAAGTAACAAGATCACCTAGTACAGTAATTGATTATTGCAAATATATATGGAGTGAAGGTTAGTAGTTTACTTTACTACACAGCAGCAGGCAAACAGTTTGAGATAGTAATAGTATATAGATTAACTTTTATTAAATAAACACACAGTGACAACCTTGCCTGTAGGAATTATCCTAGAAGGGGAATATTACTTTTACAAGTTAGAAGTAAAGGTAGAAGAGTCTAGGTTGAAGTATAGGAACTTAGAATTGGCAAGGAAGGGTAAAAGCTACTCTTTATATATCTTTTTACCTAGTAGAGATAGTGGAAATTTGAGCAACATTACTTGATACTGTACTTGGAGTAATAGGGGTTTAAACAACATTAAATAATACTATGCTTGGGGTAGTTGGGACTGTGTAGAGACAACTGGGAATATTGTTTATATCATTTGTCATTTATGCTTGAAACACTTGGGACTTGTGTTTAGGACTTGGATTCATGCAAAGGCACTTAGGATTTGTGCAAGGATACTTGGAGTTCATGTGGAGATACTTAGGGTTCATGTCGAAGATACTTGGGATTCTTGTGCTACAGCATTTGGCACAGTAATTTGGTGCTAAGATACATAAAACTTGTACAGAGATATTTGGAGTTTGTAAGACAATAGTAATATCACAGATATTACTCAGTATTATGTAGCTGTATCACATTTCTAATAGCCAATTAAGATCCTTTTATCTATCTACTATATAATATAACTATCAACTAACTAATAACTAATAACTAATAATAATAAATATAAAATATAAAATACAATAAAGAATAAATATATAATTACTAATATTACTATAATATACTATGCTAAAAATCTACTTTGTAACACTACCTCTCTATTTGGATCTTCCCAAATAGACTTCTTGTTACCCAATTTCAATGGATTTATATGGCCACAAGGACTTATCTAGTGTTTGCACTGTCCAATTTGTTGGTTTGCATTTCTCTGTATAACTTCAACATTGCACGGATGCTTCATGACCTGCCAGTCATGCTAGTGTGACTGCCATTACAGGTATCCTAACCTAATTG